GGTAATACTTTCAACAATAAAATTTTTTTTAAAAAGATCTGCTTCAGGGCATTGGGGGGGCGGGGGGCAGACCTCAGGCGCCTCTCTGGGCATCAGCTTAGCAGCACCACCTGCCCCACGGCCCTCAGGTGACTATAACCCTCCCTCCTTGTGTGAAAGCCGTTCTTGCCACAAACATCCAACCCTTGTCGTTGTCACTCCCTTCACTGCGCTCCAGACACACGTGTGTTTAAAACGATAATCATGGAGCACCCTGGCCTGCGGCTCAGGCGGTTGGAGCATCGTCCGCCCACCCAAAGGCTGTGAGTTCGATTCCCAGTCGGGGCCCATACAGGAGGCAACCGATCTCTCTCTCTCTCTCTCTCTCTCTCTCTCTCTCTCTCTCTTCCTAATAAAAAAAGCATATCCTCTGGTGAGGATTGAAATATTTTTTTAAAAAGGATAAATATGCACATGTATGTATTAATGACTCGAATGAAGTGGAGGAGAAAGAAGAACTCTAGTGGATCATAGCTCGGCGGGGTGAGTCCGATTGAATCCGCCCGAACCACTCAGGAGAAGAAGGGCGGGGAGGGGCAGGGGGAGACGGGGAAGGCGTGAACGGGTCCCTACTGCTCACTGGGTTAGGGGAGTAGGACGTCCACCCGCTGGCGTCCGGCCAGCGTCCTCCCCCTCTGCCCTGTGCTCCCGGGAAGGCTCCACACAGGAAAACGAACTGTTTTCGCCAATAGACGAGGAGTGATCGATGGGTATTTACCTGGTGGTACATGTAATTCTAAAGTTTTAGATGGAGCCGCACATGAGTCATCAGATATTGTAACATTGGTCTTTTGGCATTCCCGTAGGCCATTGAACCTTTTGTTGCCACATGTCTGAGGTGGTTGACATTTAACATCTACTATTGCATGAAATGTTTTATTATGATTGTCATACTGGTAGGTCACATTGATGATGTTCGCAAATTTTTCACCTGAAAGAGCATGACACAGCGAGATTATTTTATTTTTCAGAGCAAATACACCTACGTTAAATACAAACTCCTTAGCTATCCCATCGCTGGCAAAATCCCCTCCCCACC